ATGATCATCGGAGAATTCCCACTGTTCAAGGCTGCACCACCGGCTGAACATGTCCCAGGGAATTAGGACCTATCTCCAGAGCCACGTTGCCCTCACTTTGGCTTTCTGAAGCAGCCATTCGGACAACGTTTAGCCGTCATTACCTTTGTTATATGCAGGGGAGTAACTACAAATCACGAGGGCCCCCTAGAAAAACTTTGATAGGGCCCCCAGCTGTGTTTCTTTAGCAGCTTTGACAATACGTGTCATTGATCTTAACATAAAGTATGCCGAAATCAAGGACGGGCAGCAGGAGAGCTGTCAGCATAGTCAGGACACTACAGGAGATCGGTGCTTTGGATAAAAGTTAGAGCTATAGTAGCAAAAATAAGAATAACCATAATATCAGGTGTCCTATAGCAAGGATAGGCAAACGCCGGCCCTCCAGCTGTGCAACTACAAATCCCATAAGGCATTGCAAGACACCGACAGCCACATGCATAGCTCCCAGAGGCAGAAGTGGACCTGGAGGGCCGGTGTTCTATCGAATTCTCCAACTCATCGAGACCTCCAACTTTCATCAGTGCACCTGGGCAGCCACCCAAGAGAGGTATCAAGCTATACAATCTGTGGCAGTGCGCCTGTGCGGGCACCAGATGGTAGTTGGAGAACTCAATGTCAATTTCGAAGCCGCATCGGCGCACCTACGGCAAGTGGAGAAGTCAACGAGGATTACAAAAACTGGCGGCTGGCGCGCGCACACTAGCGCCATCTCATCGAAATCTACAACGGATGTGACGTCATGGGTTGGAGATCTCGACGAGTTGGCCACCTTGACAGAACACCGGAATTTGCCTTCCCCTGACCTATACTAATCTTAGCTGAGGATTAGCAGTACAGTTTAGTTTTGCTTAACAGCCCCCCTAATGGGGCCCCCTTCTCACCCCAGGCCCCATTGCAGTTGCACGGCCTGCTATGGCAATTGTTACGTCACTGGACGGTGGAGGATTTAAAGGTGAACTACAGGCCTACCTAAAAAATACCAATGAATGCAGTAATATTCAATGCATGTTATGTGGACCTCGTGTATCAATACAAATCCTTCGGCAGGCAAAACCACTTTGATATATGTACTGCAATGATGTATTTAGCTGTTTGCCTGGAGTTCAGCTTTAAAAGCCAAGCCCACCCACAACTGGTATTGCAGTGACTGCAGTGGGTGACCCCATTTGCTACTGGACTGCATAGCTTTGCCTCCCTTCCTTCCCCTGCCACTAAGTCTCCTTCCACCTGCTGAATTCCATAACAAAGAAGAATGAATGTGGTTCTGTCACTGGACTCCTGATAGATAAAAGAAGCCAGCATGGGAATCAACTTGGCGACGTCCACGGTAAGCGAGAATATTAATCTTGGGTGAAGTGACCCTTCAAAAATCCGACTGCACTGGATTAAAGCTGCTGGCAAAAAGTAAAAATCGGGAAGGAAAAGGCTTGCTGGATTCTGTTGGCACTTTTCAGATAGTTATAAAAAATTCCCAAGAAAGAGCCCTTACGAGTCGACAAAATTTCCCAGACGCTGAACGATTCCTAGATGCATCAAATTCAGGCGCGACTTGCTGTATTTAGGGAGCCGAAAGGCAAAGAAACTGGGAGTGTTGGAAATTTCTGGGAGAAAAATGGTGAATCGTTCAAAATGGGGGGGGGGGTCAACAGGCCATGGTTGTCTACAAGGAACCTCCGGAACCTCCTGGTCAAACTTGGTCCTGTTGTCTACAAGGAACCACCTGGTCAAACTTGGCCTGTGTAAGAAATGCACAGACTTAGACTTAGAAATTAGTAAAAATATAAATTGGGCCAATTGGATTTTTTGGGGGCAAATCGCAGACTGCAATGCGTGTAGTACGCTGCAACATGCTGCCCTGAAAAAAGTAGAACGTGAAGCGAAGCGAAAAAAGTAAAGCAAAAGCATATCCTACATTTTTTACCACCGGAGTGGTGTGAACTGAACTCGTAGATCTCAAGGCAAATTGTCTTGTCTTTGCATTGGGCAGCCATGGTGTGAATGAGCCTTAAGGTGAATATAAGGTGAAGATCTACCTAATTCACCAGATTTGCATTATTTGTGGATTGACTTGCTCAGCTTAGCGTGAAACCCCACCGTAAATGATGGGGGAGGGGGTGAGACATCCAAACCTCTTTGAACACAACGCCAACAAGACCACCTTGGTCTTCCCAACAGGTATCAGCGATCTTTCTGAAATACTCATTCCTTCCACAAACTTCTACTCACACTTGAAGTGGAACTACAACCTCCTATCACTTACAGCCAAGGAAGGTGGCATCTTAGCCTATGTTTGGATTGCAGCTGTCATGGTGCTGCACATGTGATCAGCTATGACACCAGCCATTTGAGGGCTTGAATGTTTGTTTGAGAGCTGGACATGTGATCATCTATGACACTGGCCATTTGAGGGCCTGAAAGTTGGGTTGAGAGCTGGACATGTGATCAGCTATGACACCAGTCATTTGAGGGCTTGAAAGTTTGGTTGAGAGCTGTACACGTGATCAGCTATGACACTTGCCCTTTGAGGGCTTGAAAATTGGTTTAGAGCTGGGCATGTGATCAGCTATGATACTGGCCATTTGAGGGCCTGAAAGTCGGGTTGAGAGCTGGACATGTGATCAGCTATGACACCAGCCATTTGAGGGCTTGAAAGTTTGGTTGCGAGCTGGACACGTGATCAGCTATGACACCAGCCATTTGAGGGCCTGAAAATCGGGTTGAGAGCTGGAAACGTGATCATCTATGACACCAGTCACTTGAGGGCTTAAATGTTTGGTTGAGAGCTGGACAAGCGATCATCTATGACACCAGCCATTTGAGGGCTTTAAAATTGGATTGAGAGCTGGACATGTGATCAGCTATGACACCTTGAAAGTAAAGTTTTGGGAGATGTTTAGTTGGTGGGTAAAGTTCCACTTTAAGGACGTATTGTCCAATGATCAATGGTCTATGTTGTTGCGCTCATTAAAGCGCCTTCACATTTATTTGCACTTTCGCCCAATATAGAGACATTCAATGACGTTCATCAGCATCTGGATTAGCTCAACTGGAAAACCTGGGGCTCAGTAACATTTGCCATTTTTATAATGTACATCATAACGGTATTTGATCGCAAGAGTAAACATGTGGCGCACTTTGGATACAAATTTTACCCCTAACGTACGCCGTTTGCCCTTTGCATTCACCCCCCCCCCCCCAACAAACAAGGAAGGCAACGCTGATAAACGTGCTACATATAGATTTTTCCGAACAACCGTTACCTGTCCGATCGCAACAAACATGCTCATTGTTTGCAAAGACCCTACCGCGTCTGGCTTGCCCCCCTTCACCCGGCGTTTCAAAGAACAAAAAAAAAAGAGCAATCTAAAAACCGCGTATCTATAAATGGCACAAGAGATTAGGCCCCATACACAGGGGCGAAGGCTACATCAAATAGGAATCTATCTAAAACTGCCTTTAATGAAAAGGGCTTTAAAGCTCGAACCTGTCCCTCTCATCCCCCCCGCAGCAAGAAACCGCGCCGAGCCACCGAAATCCGAGGGAGACCTGTCACATCCTATCAAAATAGCTCATGAGAGCGCAAACAAAAGGAGCTTTATTGAGCAAATGTAACATTTTCTTTAATATATTTCAACAATAGCCGGCGCGGCTCAGGTTGGCGTGGGAGACGGAGCCCGCTCCCTTATTTTTTTTTTTTCACAGACTTGTGATTTCATCTGGGACCCAGTGGGGATGGAGACCGTCGTCAAGTCGAAAAATGGGCCCCCCTACCCGGCACGGCCCATCTTTTATCAAGTGTATTTACTTGTTCAGCTGACATCTTCAAATATCTTTCTAATGTTGAGCTGTAAAAAAAAACAAAACTAAATCTCCCCCCTCCGTTCCCTTTTTTTTATCGCTCATTTTCGTTCTCGGTCTCCCTGGCGACCGACACTTTAATGCCATATCGGAGAGAGAGAGAGCGAGAGGCAGAGAAGAGAAAGAAAAAAAAGGGGGGGGGG